AGGGAAAAGTTGTGCATTGGCAACGGCCAAGTGAAGTTCAGCATGCCCCTTCAAATTGTCGTTGGTTCCCAGTTGCTTTTTGTGAAAATTGTTCACACACTTTGTTCAATGTTAGATGGACTGGCCTGGTTCATCTGGAGCCACACCGCCCTTGATGCGTTTTGAGGCTGGACGTTGTATATGTTTCCTTGACACATGTCTTAGCTTGAACAAATCCGGAAAACCTCAGTGCCACCAGGTGGAAAACAAAGAGTGCAGTGCTTGGCACTGTGGTGTGCAAACAATTGGCTACAATCCAGCTTATTGAGTGTTCATATAGAGCTTGGTTTCTTGTATTGTAGGTGTATGTGGGGAATAGTTCCTGTTGCAGGGGCTTTATATAGGAAAGAGTTTCAGGCCAGAAATGAAGATGGGAATTTGCGGTGAGCACGGCGGAGATCCAGCCTCCATTGAGGTCTGCGAGAAGATCCCTGAGGATTTATGTAGGAAACATGCAGGAAATGGTTTTTTATGTTAGCAAACAGTTTCCCAGTTCAGGGTTGGTTTAGGAAATAGTTTCTGTAAACTGGGTTGATTTAGGAAATAGTTTCTGTAAATTAGGTTGATTTAGGAAATAGTTTCTGTAAATTGGGTTGGTTCTAGGAAATAGTTTCTGTAAACTGGGTTGATTTAGGAAATAGTTTCTGTAAATTGGGTTGATTTAGGAAATAGTTTCTGTAAATTGGGTTGATTTAGGAAATAGTTTCTGTAAATTGTGCTGATTTAGGAAATAGTTTCTGTAAATTGGGTTTATTTAAGAAATAGCTTCTGGCCTCCACAGACAAAGAGGCCAAGGCACTCCCCAATATATACATATTATAACGTAGTAATTATATATTATTTCGTATTATTATCTTTAAATATATAAATGAAATGTAATTTATAGATAATATGTAGTATTTGTTTTAACTCTAAGTCTAGCTAATCTAAGTTTAAACTATTGGCTCCCCAATATCAAGAAAATTGCAGTTTGAAATCCATCCAACCAATTAGGCTTGGATCCCTTTTAGGAAAATCATTTGTCAAATTGTTATCACATACATGCTACCCTTTGTTCATCATCCCCATTTCAAGTCTCGCTTCCAGAAGGCCATATGGGAAATTAAATTCATAATGCAGTTTGGCAAAGATGAGCTAGACATTCTCCTACAAATCAGGAGTCTTGTGGGTTTTCAGTTTTTCATTACAACGGTGATTGTAGAAGTTTGTTGACATATTATCTATTGTTTGGGGTTAAGACACAGTGTCGCACAGCGTTTCGCTTTTGCAGGCCACTTTGTTGGACTCATATGAAATTGACGATGACGCTCAGGAGCCGTGGTTGTTAAATTTAGCGCTTTTGGGTTTGTCCAATGGTTTTGCATCTATGTGCATCTACTCCAGTGGCAAGGTCATTCAACCCAGCACATTCAAAAACTGACATGCCTCCTAACAAGTCCGTTTGCGCAGGACTATCTAGATACCTCCACGCCCAAGACTGGTGAGGATGTTGAGAAAGAGGGCAGCCAAGAGGGGTCAGGACAAGAGATGGAGGAGCCATGGTGGGAGGTTTGCCACTGTGCAGCTGGGGGTTATTGCCCCCTCCAAGATCCCTTGCAGCTCCAAGTGGATGCTATGGTTTTGGAGGATGAAGTCACCGAGGACAACTACGTAGACACAGCCGCTGCACTGATGAGGGACATCAAACGGCATGAGCATGGGTTTCCTGACACACTGGGTGCAACGCCCAAGAGCAAGCCAGTGCCCAAAGCAAAGCGTGCGCCAAAGGTCAAAGCAGCATGCAAGAAAAGCAAGCCGAAACCCAAAGCGTGTTCTGCGAAGTCGAAGGCAAAATCTCGCAAAGCAAAGACCCCAAAGAAGAGCAAGGGCAGCAAGGGAAAGCAACAGAGCAAGGAGGTAGGACACAGTCCTTTCAAGGATAGGATGGTGCTCAACAAGAAGCTCCACTCTGCAACTTGGTAGCCGTTCAGTTTCAGTTCCAGATTGTTACGATTATCTTAACCCATTTCTGACCCTGGGGTGGGAAGAAAAAGAACAAATCCAGACTTTGACATGCATCTATGCTACAGGTGTACTCTTGCGCTTGGTCATGGGCCAAACTGCGCTATCCCGATGACAGTGCGAAATGGGCAGATCATGCGACGGAAGTGAGAAAGAAGTTGCTCAGCTGTCAGTAGCTCCCACTTTTCTATGTGAATCATAAAGATTGAGACTTCAAAACCAAAGTGCAATTTCAAGACTTCAAACAAATTGCTCAGCTATCAACCATTCATGTGCCTTTTTCAGGTGGATTTATGATCATCACCTTGAGGGCAATGATGCTGCCAAGAGGTTCTTATGAACAATGAACTCAGGGGATCTTTCGCTAGGTTGCATCCAAGATTCGGGATGCGTGTGGCACAGACAGGGGATCTTGAGCCAAGAAAAAAGTGCGCGGATGCATGCTGTCAGAGGGCCAGTTCCAATTTGGAAAGTACCCAGATAGGGCTGGAAATCCATCCTGACAATCACCATCAATAAGATTCAATAGCCCTGACAATCACCATCAATAAGATTCAATAGCCCTGACAATCACCATCAATAAGATTCAATAGCCCTGACAATCACCATCAATAAGATTCAATAGCCCTGACAATCACCATCAATAAGATTCAATAGCCCTGACAATCACCATCAATAAGATTCAATAGCCCTGACAATCACCATCAATAAGATTCAATAGCCCTGACAATCACCATCAACAAGATTCAATAGCCCTGACAATCACCATCAACAAGATTCAATAGCCCTGACAATCACCATCAATAAGATTCAATAGCCCTGACAATCACCATCAATAAGATTCAATAGCCCTGACAATCACCATCAATAAGATTCAATAGCCCTGACAATCACCATCAATAAGATTCAATAGCCCTGACAATCACCATCAATAAGATTCAATAGCCCTGACAATCACCATCAATAAGATTCAATAGCCCTGACAATCACCATCAATAAGATTCAATAGCCCTGACAATCACCATCAATAAGATTCAATAGCCCTGACAATCACCATCAATAAGATTCAATAGCCCTGACAATCACCATCAATAAGATTCAATAGCCCTGACAATCACCATCAACAAGATTCAATAGCCCTGACAATCACCATCAATAAGATTCAATAGCCCTGACAATCACCATCAATAAGATTCAATCACGCTGATTTGGAGATGAATTTCCGATGGTTTGACAAAACTTCCATGGCAGTTCCACAAGGGTCCCAGGCAGGCGATGACCAGCTTCAATATTCTTTGATCCTCATGGAAGTTCCAAACCAGTGAGGGTAAAGACCCATAAAAGTATATGAACTATGAGACTTGCATACAGTTACTACCCTGAGGTAAACATACGAAAAACATGGTGGAAAACACCATTTTTTCCCGTTCGGACATTTATGATCTACTTAAATAGTGGCTTCTCCACATCTTGTATCGTTGGAGGGTGTCACTACTACCTCCCATAGTCTCATCCTTCAAGTCACCATCGAAAAAGAAAAACATCATCTAATTAGATCTAATGATGTCACTATGTATCCATTAAATGTGTATATCATGGATCTTATTTATCATCATCAGTATCTAATACTATGAGTATGGTAAACAATTAATATTTCATTTCAAAATACATAGCTAACAATAGATATGATGACCCACTACTAACATTTGGGGATATAGTAGATATACTAAATGATATACTATACGATTTGTTCATATAAATAAACCATTGCCCATTAATAGTTCGGACAAATACAAAATTAATAGATTATCATAGATTATCATAGAGTATGATCAGAGTATCATAGATTATACATATATATATACATGTATATTATCACTAATAGTTCATATTTTCTCATAGATTATATACCATAGATACCATGTTATCATAGATCATCATGATTTTTTCTCAATATATCATATCATAGATTGTCATAGTATAGTAATACTATAATAATCTATGATCATCTATGATACCCTCTGGTAATTTAACGTAGCTATTGAAAATGGTCATTTATAGTTGAGTTACCAATTAATCATGGTGATTTTTCATGGCTATGTAAACGTTTACCAGAGGGTAATCTATGATAATCTATAATAATCTATGATTATCATGATTTTTTCTCATTATATCATATCATACATTGTCATAGTATAGTCATACTATAATAATCTATGATCATCTATGATACCCTCTGGTAATTTAACGTAGCTATTGAAAATGGCCATAGAAATAGTTGATTTACCCATTAATCATGGTGATTTTTCAGGGCTATGTAAACGTTTACCAGAGGGTAATCTATGATAATCTATAATAATCTATGATCATCTATGATAATCTATGATAATCTATGATAATCTATGATCGTCTATGATCATCTATGATCATCTATGATCATCTATGATCATCATCTATGATCATATCATCTATGATAATCCATCTATGATCATCTATGATCATCTATGATCATCTATGATCATCTATGAATCTATGATTTTTCTCATTATATCATATCATAAATTGTCATAGTATAGTAATACATAGTAATAATCCATGATAATCTATGATAATCCATGACAATCTATGATCATCTATGATCATCTATGATAATCTATGATAATCTATAATGATCAGAGTATCATAGATTATACATATATATATATATTTACATGCATATTATCACTAATAGTTCATATTTTCTCATAGATTATCTACCATAGATACCATGTTATCATATCATAAATTGTCATAGTATAGTCATACATAGTAATAATCTATGATCATCTATAATGATCCATGATAATCCATGAAAATCTATGATCATCTATGATCATCCATGATAATCCATGAAAATCTATGATCATCTATGATAATCCATGATATCCCCATAGTATTCCCAGTGAAGTCCCCCTTTCCGCCTGCCGCCACGCCCACGGAGGTCGCCACCCCCATGGCCGCAGAGACGATGCCCCGCTGCTCCGGCGCCGCCAGATCGCCACCTGGGGCCCGATGACGGGCCCGAGGACGGGACAACGGGGGGGACGTTTGGATGATTTTCCCTATGGAAAATGGGCACTTCCCAGGATTTTGCCATGGAAAATGGGACTTAGCATGATTTTTGCCATGAAAAATGGGGGAGTTGGGGGGATTTAACTATGAGCAACCTTGGGATTTGAGATCAGTTTAAGCACAAATATCGGGATGGAACCATGAACAATCGAGATTTAACTTGATTTAGGCAGATTTAGGACGCAACATGTTTTAAGGCATGATGGGGAGAACCATCCCAGCGCTTCCAAAGGAGTTTACTGAGTGATCACAAAGGACAGTTTTGACTGGCTACAATTTACCGCAGGAAATTATGGAAAACATTGAGAAAAACATTGAGGACCATGTATTCACGGGCTTTTCACGGCCTTTCACTCACTTTTCAAGGGCTTTCAAGGTCTTTTCACGTTTATTATATAACATTACAATTTTATCAAAGTTGACCGGCTTCACAGAGGCTAGGTGAAACCTAGGCGTTAGGCATTGTGACTGGGTGAGTTTTTGGTGTCCGTTGAAGTTCTGGGTGCATCAAGAATAGGGACCTAACAAAGTATAAACATTGGGGATCTAACCATAAAATCATAAACATGTGGATTGAAGAACGGCCAAATTATACTGGGTGTATCTGGTTGATTTTGGATCAACAAACCACCGAACGTTGGAAGATGGTATGGATAAATCATGCTTCCGCCAATTTAGCTTCTGTAGCCAGAGATCCAGTGTTTTTTTTATGACAGTATTGATCCATTTACCGGATCTCCCAATCGTTCTATCAGGGTTAGGTATGGATCAATCATCAATCAAGTTGTTCTTCTTTGGGAGGAAAGGCATGATAAGCATTGAGCAACTATACATATTAGTAAGTTTGCTGGGATTTGGGTCAGTATAGCTCAATGATTGGGGTCTTCTTTGGTTTTATGTGGGCATGAATGGATCAAGACTAAGCGTCATCCAGGAATAGATAGAAATGCAGGGTAATGGTTAATGCCCAAAACGACCAACATTTGGTTGAGCAAAAGCTTGTCAGTTTTGTTATGATTCCATTCTTAGCAGTGGAAGACGCATGATTTACGTGGAAAACATGACCTTTCAAAGCTACCAACTTATATCTGTACATATTAATCAAACACGTGACGGTAGACATCATTCTATAGGGGATGATTTGTGGTTTCAACCAATCTCTTTTCGGATGCTAACCAAGATCCAATCAAGAACATGGACTTTTTGTGTCTAGGATTTGTCGTCAGGCTGTCACCAACAATACACCAACAGTTGGACAACTCACCACCAATCCACTGATATCCACTGGTTGAAACATGTTAAAATCACAGATGGAGGTTTCCTGAAGTAGCGGTGCTTCCAGTTCTCATCCATTTCATTTTCGGATTTTCCATGAAATAAACATAAATAAACCATCTAGCTATTGGGGTACCTCCATTTTGGGAAACATCCAAATGCCAAAAAAACATCGGAATGGGGATGTCAATTTTTAAGGTCTGCCTTGGAGGAACATGTGGAGATTCGAAACGGTGATTCTTGCTGCAAAAACCATCAGGTGGATTTTTCAAAAAAGAACGCAGAACAAATAACGAACATATTAGAACCAAGTCGGAGAGGATTATAATCACTGTACGTTGGGACGACATTTGAAGTGAAACCTCATCGCTGCACCTATGGTAAAGTCGTTTCGCGGTCCCAACTTTACGACAAAATGCTAGGTCTCGAGGGATTTATAGCCTACCATAATCTGGAGTAACACCTGTTGGATCCAAACGTTGGTGGTTTTTAAACAACGAACATTGGTGACAGGTAGCACCTAGGAACCTAGATGGCAGGCTGTCCCAGGCATCGGACGATTGGGGTATGACTGGGTTTGATTCAGCAATATAACTAAATCGACCTAAATGATCAAACATGTTCGCCCCAACCCGGACGGTGCTCCACACTTACAATTTACAATCGTCATGATCATGATCATCATCATCATCACCATCATCACATCATCGTCACATCATGATCATCATCACATTACAATTTGCAACCCCCTCTGAAAATATGCTGACTGGGGTAATAACATCAACTTTATCTTCACGAGGGGTCAAAATTTCCCACCCCCTCTGAACAAATTGATTGGGGTAATAACATCAACTTTATCTTCATAGCCACCTGAAGTCAGACGCGGTGCAACGTCAGGGTTGCAGCGAACATGTTAAAACTAAAGACCCCAGGGACCGCAGATCTTGGCAATTTTAAATGTATTATATAATCTTATCTAATCTTTGGGGAGCCCTTGACACACCAAATCTGAAAGCCAATGGATGAAACGATCGTTGCAATTTACCACTGCATCGGGCCAAGATGCAAAGAGAATATAGAAGAGGAAAGGAACCACCCACTGACACTCCTGCCCGACTTGCCCAACTGATCCCAAATGACAGCATCATGACAACATTTGCACAGGATTCCTTGTCATCAGTTGTCAGCTGTCATGGCTCATCTGTTGCCAATCATGTCTTACAAAAAAGGCACCCAACATCACCCAAGAGCCTTCTCAGGCTTCTCAGCACATTCCCTAGATGGTGGGGCAATATATAACAATACATACAAAACCAAAAATTAATGATGAGCAACCGCCAACTAGCCTTTTTGTTCATGAAACATAGAAAAATATCATCATGAGCCGCCACTGAAATGTTCGACAGGCCAGCGCCCTTGATGCCCGGGCCCCGTGCCGCTCCTGTCAATACTCGGCATAGGAAATACCACCTCTGGTGGTCATCATTGCTCAGAGTCCAAGGAAAGTGTGGGACAGTAACACATCTGACGACTCAATCGGAGAAAAACACCATCTGTTTTTCACCAAAGAAAAAAAGGACACCCACTGTCTGAACATTACGAATGTTTTTCCATTTGCAACAGAAAATAACAGAAACCATGGGTTTTCAAATGTTGTCAATGATGTCTTCTGAAGGGAAAATCATATTTTCACCAAACGAAGTGGGGTGACCAACAACAATGGGTCTTTGAACAACAACTCCAGCAGGCGTCACGGCTGGCTGAATTGCATCCGGGTTACAAAAATCCAGATCCGCCCGCAGGAATGTACCTTGGAGGGCAGATTTTCCAGGCGATGGTGGCCCCAGTGCAAATACCAATATGAAACAGAGATCTGCAACTATCCGCCAGCAATACAATCTTGGGATATCATCGCATATTATGGGATACTATGGGATATTGTAGAATATTATGGGTTTATATCCCCAGCATATCCCAACCATCCCTCCTCTTTTTTTGGTTGCTGCAGAACGTTGCAAACTTCATCGTCGCCACGGCACTTGATCAGCGCGCAAGGCACACTGCCCAAAATCACCACGGCCAACAGCAGATTCACTCGATTCAATCGATCCGCCAAGGGCCCCAAAGCTAAACTTGTTGCTCCTACAGCAATCGGCTCTTCGGCGAGATTGTGGTTCAAACAATGGGAAACACATGGGAAAACATTCAACCGCCTTTTTTTGTGCTTGAGGGGCACCTATTTGAGAAACACAATTTTTTTGGTGGGGGGGTTGAATTTTGTTGGCTAGCAACGCCCGTCGCTGAATTTCAGCTAGATTATTCAACTAACCAGCTGAACAAACAATCGCAAATGGACGAGACCACCCCCTGTACATTCGTTATTGGAGACAGTTCCACCCGGTGGTCAATGGAATTCTAACTCCTGAAGTGGCTTCAAAGAACCATGAAATCAAAACCGACCCATATGGTCAACTTAGGTCCAACACGGAACTCCATATGGACATTACATAAAGGCCTTCACTGGGCACAAATACTCCAGTTGGTGAGGCCGCAATAATCCTACTGACCTACTGACATCTTGACACCAGCCATTTCAGCGGTGAAATCTGCTGTGATATCCTATTCTTGGTGGTGAACTCCGGATGTTTAGATCTGGTCAAAGACCTTCTTGCCGTTTAGCAACTAGGCAAGGACAACATGTCCAGATACTTGAGAACGAAATGCAATGTCCATAATGTCTGTTGTTGGCTGCATTCTCATTGGTCAAGCTACCAGTTCCATATTTCATGTTCCCGGTCAGCCCCCCACCTCCGACAAAGAAAAAACCTTAGTGGCGGGGAAATCGCCATCATGCGCGAAATATCAAGAAATGCGAGTAAGCGGTTACCACAGCAAACAACATCCAGGGATGTGAATGACACCCAAAAAACAACTACAGAAGTTGCCTCCCATCCTTCATGAAGTTCTCTTTACAAAATAGTTTGAGTTTAAACTGTCTCAAAATCGGGGCCTGCCCCGAAAATGGTGTGTTGTCATGCGCATATGACTTTCATTCAAGACACATCATGGAGAATATCTTTTTTTTTCACCTGCCAGACCTCCCAACTGCGGCTTACCTTGCGATCTCAGCAGCCTAGCTGGACTTGTCCACCTAACTTGCTATCCTTTTCCAAAGGCGTCAGGTCAAATTCCTCTGCAATGGCGCTCCTTGGCGCGCGAACTGGAACTTCCACATGGAGCCGGCAAGTTCGACAAGCCAATGTCAAGAAAATATCAGACGAATGGTTCTTACCCTGAAGTAGTCAAATGGTGGATCGACATCTCTAAGAAGAAGGTGATCCTTTGGTTCCGATTTTACAACTTCACTAATTATATCTTGCTGTTTCAAGCGTTTCATCGTGACGATCTCAGGCATGTTTTCCCTCAGTTGTTTCATCATCAATCCAAGCCAGCAAACATCAGCCAGCTACACCTTCAAATCTTTTCGCTCCAAGGGGCAAGTTGGGAGCTGCCAAATTTTGGTCTGCATGGAGGCACATTGCCACCAGCAACAGCAAGCCCAGGGTATACCTCAGCAGGATTTGCCCTTTGCCCCTTGGAGGGCTCCCATCCATTGCATGTGAATCTACCCTCTGGTTGTGATTAACAGTTTGCAAACTGGAAACTCATCATTGTTAAAAGGCAAATCATGGAGTTTATCATCTATAAATGGGCCATGGCTTCCACGGCTATGTTGAATAACCAGAGGGTAGAAGAGGCTGCAGCTGATGTCTGTCGACTGTTGGCCTGTTGGACTTGCTTCCATGTATAGTAGGTTGATGTAAGCGTACATTGGACATCGCACGTATGAAAGCCCCCAAAACGTTGGGAACGGAATGGTTCCGACAACAAAAACGCCTTGGATAGGCCGAGAGTCACGGCATACTTGGGCTTCAAACCACCGATTTCCAGGTTTTGAGTTTTGATTCATGGCTGGGCACGAAGCCCAGCCATGCTTTCCCTGCTTGTTGGCCAATTATTACACCATCTACGGTGGTCCCAGCCGGGGTTCTCCTTAGACAAACCTGGAACAATGGGATCATTGTCGGTGATTTTCCTTGGCCAGGTAAGATTGGATCGCTGAGATTTTTATCCGCCTCCTTCAGTTGGGACACCCCCTATTTTTGTGCATTTTATGGTGTAGAACATCCCCAGGTAGGATGGGAGTTGAGACAAAAACCCTCTGATGATTGAAAATACCTTTGAAAAATGGATGCGACTGAGCCAGTTCAGTGGATGATTTGCCTATTAAGACTGCTGATGACTGCTGTTTTTCAACAATTCCATAGGAAATTATTCAAGTAGTAGAGGGTACATTCATGTTTCCTTTCCCCACTCAAAGTTTTGGCGGGACACCAACGCCGAAAGAGGCCTCGACATTGGAACAGCACCGCTTTGAACCAGCGCAGTCCTCAGAGATTTGGCCGAACATGCAGAAACCTAAAGTGGGCTGAACATGTTTGGTGTTCAGCCAGTTGTTTGGGGATAACAATCCAGGTTGACTAACACTGAAAAGGGTCTGAACATGTTGGACACAGGACACCAACAAACACAATATCTTAGGGTAGACTCCGATTTAGCATCAGATTGTTGCTTTATTTTCAACATATCTGGTGACACATCCACCATGTTCATCAGTCAAATCCTACTATTACATCATCCGTCAACATTGCAAGACATATCCAAACATTGTTCTATTTTTGCTGATCAAATGACATTTTATGCAGGAGTCATCCCCTAGTTCCATTGGCCAAACGTCGCCATTCCACCATTTTGTCCACAAAGTGGCCCAACATATCCAAACACCAATCGATTGTTGCTGGTTAACGCCCATTTTTGTTAAATATCCCATTCAGCCGTTTCATCAATCGAAATGGCCCTGACAGATTTAGAAATCAACCACGTCAATCCATGTTAAGCCAGTCAGATGAATATGGAATTGTTCGTATACGCTGTATATAGACACATGGTAGCATGATATCTAAGCACATTGAGCCAATAAAACCTACCGGGCCATTAAGCAAATCATTTCATCCACCAAAAAGGCTAAACATATCATTTTAATCATTTTATATCCATTTCCAAGCCCCTTTTTCTAGCAACAAGAAAAATCAAACTCACTAAAGCCTCCATCAACAAACTCACTAAAGCCTCCATCAACCCCGGAAAACCACTACCATTAGATCCACACCATCCCAACCCCCTGGCCGCTGCGCCGCACGGCGCCGCACGGCCGCATCACTGCATCCTGGTTGCTTGCCAGCTGCTGTCCCGCCGCGCGGTTGGAACGGCTTCGTTTGGACACATCCGGTGCTTCGCGGTCCTCCTGGAGCTGGAAGATACGACTGGGATGACTGGAACTCAGATGATTGGTATATTATTTGTTTGAAAGAAACATCTGAAGATTTATGGTTCTAAAATGTTCTAAAATGTTCTAAACGATGTTATAGGATGATATTATGACTTCCTCGCTAACTTAAATGGGAGATCGATGGATATCGATGGATATCGATGCGAGATCTTCTTCGAGGTTTATGGGATGATTGGAACTGAGATGAACTTAGATTTAGTTTTGAACCAGTCTTATTGGTTTCTATTCTTGGGTTTGGGGCTGACGTGTTCTTCCACCTTCCGATAGCTCCTCTGTATCCGTTTGGCTGGCAAGTAGAGGCATGGGGCGACAGCATGAGCCAACAATGCCAGGCTTGGAACTGCTGGGGCACTGGGGAGAGTGGACGTGTTTTTTTTTCGCAACCTGAGGGCGACTTCCATGGAGAATCCATGGAGAATCCACATGAAAATGAGCATGTTCTGCTTGGACGTGTTTGGATCATCGAACTGACCATTGAAAGGGCTTGCATGTCTGTGAAAATCCTGGATGCTTCTTGTGATGATGCTGTCTTGCAAGAATTGAGAACATGGGTGCAAGGACGCCAAAGTTCGGAAAGGATATGTTGGCAAGATCATTCCAATCTTTATCCTCCAATTTTACCCATCATGCAACATCTTGGTTCCCTTCAACTTGCCATTTTTCTTGACTTGACATGGGCCATGTCTCAGATTTCACCGTTGAGCCCAACCACAACCGCACAACGGATGGGACATTGCTCGAAAACGATTCTTTGGTCACCTCATCCAGATCCAGATCCATCCCCAAAAAATGGATAGACATGAATGAATTAGTATAATCTATAGACCCCCGGAAATGGATTATAATGGATTATATTATTATCGTGCCCCAAAAACAAAACAGCGCTAAGGTCCCTATAGGGACCCTTTCTATCCGGTGGATGGCACCTCTTTGCCTGAGTATCGCGGCCACCAAATGGCTCACAATGCATCCCTGGGAGAAACCTGGCGGTCGTCACCATCCCCAAGTCACCATGGCTTTATGGGTGCAGAAACCATCCCCAGTCATGGATAAATGGATATAAATGGTAGGTTTATGGCGGTTGCCCACTTTTTTCCGGCTATTATAGCTATTAGTCTGGTGGTTTTGAAGTTCGGCAGAGACATTCCCGGGTTTTTTGGTTCGCAGCGTTTCCAAGGTTTCAGCAGCAACAAAATAGTGTCGGTCTGCTTTTTCAAAGACCCTAGAGCCGAATGAAGCCACACTTCACTTCAAAACCAAGTTTCAGGCGTGCTCCCAACAAACCCTACAAACTGTCACTGGCGCAGACTTTGCCACCTAAACTCCAAAATAAAGACATTCATGGTGGTTTCAACCCCTCTGAAAAATATGAAAATCAGTTGGGATGATTATTCCCAATATATGGAAAGTCATAAAATTCCACGGTTCCAGACCACCAACCAGAGATATTCATCTCCAAGGCAGTTTCAATCGTCCTCAGTTGCTCGTCGCATTCGGTGCTGAGCCCCTGACCAACGAGGATGTCTACAGGCCCATTCTCCTGTCCAGACTTCAGAGCGGAATACCTGGTGGACATCATCCCAAATAGAATAAATATAGACATAATATAATATTATATATATATTTATTTATTTATCTATTTAAACATTATAAATATTATTTATATATACGTATTAAACAAATAAATAAATAAATAAATAAATAAATAAATATATATATATTATATTATAGAGAGAGAAAGACTCAACATTTGGCAAACGTTTGAAGGAGTTTGAAGCCGCCAGCCAGTGGCCAGATGGTCATAAGGGACATGCAATCTCCATCAATCTCGTAGATCAAAATGAGAAGACCACGTCTCGTACCATGTGCTTAGTGGTCGTTGTACAGTGGAAGTAGCTCAGCCATTGATTCCCTCACCCCAACGTTCGATCCAAAGCCAGATGTGAAACCGAAACGAGGAACATCCCCCACTTTTGATGGACAGTTTTGTGTTCACCCTTTGACAACCTATAAAGTTTCAAAATGAGTTGATTCCACATGGATTTGTCTGAAAATAGGCTAGTATGTGGTTGGGAAACTCTTAGTGGCTCCTTAGCTCTCCATTTCATAGGGAACATGAATACCCATAGCTCCTTTGCTTCCTCACCACTGGATAGTAGGATACCTCATTCCATCCCAGGGTTTAAAACCTCATAGTTTTCTTGTTACAAATGATCATATTATAGGTCACATTATTAGTAAAGCCAAGCAATAAGATCCACCACCTTCCCCAAACTTACCTATTTTTTATGGGTAGTATAAACCATGAACATATATGAAACACATGACAAAATATGGGTGGTTTATGACAGTGTTGTAAACAACCACCTAGCCACCTAGCCTGCCCCCACGTCCTTGATCTGGTGAAGGACGCGATCTATGCCAACGTCAACCTGCACATTGAATGCCACCGACAAATATGAGGGAAGTAACGAACCGACATCATGGGAAAATAACAAATACCACAAAAAACATCAAATACCATGCCATAAAACTTACAGCTGACAGTCGGAAAATGACCACCGAAGACATCAAACAGGATGCCATCATCTTGATGACCTCTTTGGGCCCTTCTGATAGATCTTTGGATTTTGGGACATAGTGTGTTCCAGAAGCCCCAAAAAGAAAGACGTTTGTACATACCCACCATCTAGTAGTGGGTAGATTATAATATATGGAACCTTCTACAACTTTCCATAACTTTCTATACCTTTTAAGTTACTAGCTATATCATTTCAATGGCCCTCAGAGCAGCATTGCCGACGCCGGCGCCTGGGAATATGTAAACTCGACACTTGGATCAAACAATTTCTCCTTGGCGTCAAGGTACCGAGGTCCCTACTGGCCCATTGGATCCCGATCTCATGGAAAAGTAGCTAGGGCTGGCGATCGTTTTCCCTTAACACATGGACAACTTCAAGGTTCCAAAAAAAAATGATGATATGACACCCACGGCTGTTTAAAAGCCTCATTGAGCCAAAGAATCGCAGCATGTTTTTGAGACATCCATAGACCTCCTGCCTTTCAAGTTCTCATACACTTCAAATAAACCCAGCCTCAGTCAACATGTCTAGCATGGCTCAAAGTCGCTGAATCCACCACAACTGTGGCTTTGGGTTGGCATTGCACCACCATCTTTCTTTGATATCTTCCCAATATCTGCTGGAAAGAACACAGTTTGTTTTTCACCAGATTCACTAGAATTGGTCCCTTCCCATAAAATCCAAAGGTTTTAAACCTCATTTTGCCATGAAAACCCTGCCATTTTTGGGGGATGCGTTGCCCAAAAAATGGCCAAAAATGGATCCTGGTAGGGTCGATCTGACTGGTCGGTGTGCTCCACCTTGGAGTCGGGGGATGACTTCACCATGGGGATGATGGGGGATGTTTAATTCATGTTTAATGATGTTTGGATAAATATTTACCCTCTGGGTATGACTAACATAGCCATGGAAGCGGTATAGATGGCCCATAGAAATAGATGCTTTACCGAACTTAACAATGGTGGATCTTTCCATGGCTATGTTAAATAACCAGATGGTACATTGATTTTCTATGCGAAATTGCGAGAGGTTACTGGACAAAGTTTCGGAAAACAGGGATTTAAGTGATATTGGTGCCTTCCAACACAATTCGTCTGGGTAGAAATAACGAATCCCGCCATTGAAGTTGTGTAAAATCTTGGTTGCACATCGCCATTTGGCAATAGTTTCCAACGTTGCGTACCATCTAAAACCCCAGTAGTACCAACCTGCAGAGGGGTGTGTTTTCTTAGCATTTATATACATTTTAACTTAGCCTGCGTGTTTTTGTCCTGGAACTGCAGGAATTCTGCAACTATTCCTTCACAAAGAACCTGTGCACCCTCAAGCAATCAAACATAGTGATGGAAAACCCATCATTGATTTTAATGTGATATCGATATCCATTTAAGATCATTTATAAATATGTGTTCTCAAACATGGGCATTTTCGACTCTCATTTTTTGAGTACACAAGGATAGAATGGGGATAGGACACTCAAAGCGGCCCGGATCCCGTGACAATTGGGTTGTAGATGATGCCCCACTCGCATCCCCCACGAACAATGGGGCTTGGCAGGTGCCATGCAAAAACTTGATCCGTGTTCAACATTGCTAGGACTTGAATGGATTTAGCGCCTATTCACTTTCAGTATGCTGCAAAGATAGTTAACTTTCCCATGGATCCAGAAAAACAGTGCACTTGCGATACGCAACAAGTACCAAGATGTACTAAGACACCTAGGTATGGTAGTCACTAGGTAATCTTTCACCAACCCCAAGTCGCTGGGCGCCAACAGCATACCAGCCATAGAAGGGCATGCCAGCAGCCAATGCCTGATTGGAGCCATTCTGGAACCATTGGCACCAGGACAAGCTGCCCAGATTTGGTCATAGTTAACTTGGTTAGCCTAAATCTGACATAATCTGACATGACCTCCCAGGGAAAGCCGCGCTTGTCCTAATCAGTTCAACCCCACCTGCATGATTTCTGGCGGCTTCTGTCCTTCATTGAACCTTGGTGTTGAACAGGATCATCTCAAAAAAGAAACTGCGACCCCGTCGGGGATTGCTTGGAGCTATACATATTACACCGGAAAAACAAACAAATATTGGGAACATTTGCACATCTTCCACTTCAAACTGGCTGTTGCAAAGTTTTTGGTTGTGACATGATGTGACCATGGTGGTTGAACCTCTGTGGTACACAAGATTTAACGAGGTGTGTAAGGGATATTTTAATTTGGACACTTGACATTAAGTGGCCAATTTGCTAACAATCAAACACCTTTCATACTTGCATTTGGCTTCCTTTGGATGCGAAACTTTTTATTGCAAATCCATTCATCTGAGTGATTCCGATCTGAAGCTTTGCCCAATAATGTTTTCTTCAGTTCCAATTCAAAGCTGAGATCCGAGGAAGGGACTTCCAACTCCTGCCACCATTCAGAAATTCCCACTCTGCCTCAGGCATCAGGCTGGACCACTGCATGGCTACCAACAGCCACCTTCTTATAATTAGCGTCTATTTACAGAAGTATATATAGTATGCAGTAGTACACGTGTGAACTTTAATGAACTTTAATGAACTTTAATGAACTTTAATGAACCTTATTCTCTGTTCGCTTTCACCCCGGAATGTCCAACACCCGGTTTCGACTCGGGAAAATCCCCTCGCCCTTTCCACCACCCCCTTTTGCACCAACCCTGGAGCCTGATCCCCCAAAGCACGGCGTAAGGGCATGACCTGCAAGATTTAAAAAAACCAGAGGGTAAACCAAAACCAAGAAAAATCAAATGAAAAACCCAGAAAAACCCATAAAAGTGGGCTTCAAGCAACACGGAATGGGTTTCTTGTGCGGCCATATCCATGCAAACAACAATCCCGGGAAGACTACCAGGGCGACCCGAAGTCTACAGGAATGATTTCAAGGCGCCAAAACTTTACACTTGACCACCAAAGTTATGCCTTGGACCTGGATGTTGTGGTTTACAAAAAATAACCCATGATTGACTCATTGACCCAAACAATTGAACATGGATGACGTGGTAAATAGGGATGGCTCTACGCGCCTGATATTTCATGATGTTGGCATTGGAACCACCGCCATGGAGTGCCAAGACCTGGGTTTTCCCGTGGGAAAATCAGGTTGTTTATCAAAAGAAAAATGGAACGATAGATGGGGTTTCTCAGAACAAACATCTCAAGTATGACATGTTTCTATTTAGGAAATATGACATTCTATCTAAATGTCGGCTGGATTGCGGGAAACTAATCAAACAGAAGATAAACATGTGACCATCATTTAAGCAAGACATGTTGACCACCATTTCCTTGTTGCAAGATTGGGAAAAATGTTGGGAGATGTTGGGAGTACATCGTGCCATCATGGGACATCATGAAAACTGTGAAAGCTGCACTATTCAGTCAGGACCCGGGTATTGAAGGTTGTGCCACGCTTTGGGTCTAGCAAGGCTTCCATATCCGTGAGCGAATGTGACCTGTGTGAACTGGACCGACCTCATTGGTCTTTTTGGAATGATGGAATCATCTGGAATCATGTTTTCCACACGATGAGATTCTATGAGATTGTTACCCTCTGGTAATTTAACGTAGCTATTGAACATGGCCATTTATAGTGGATTTTCCATATTAAAAATGGTGATTTTCCATAGTTATGTTAGTTCACCAGAGGGTATAGATTGTTTATTTTGAAGCTCCGGGACACACGGCCGCATGGTGGAAAGAAATGGAAATAACCTGGCGGCATCCAAGAAGATGCTCAATGCTGATATGCTCGAAGCTCCACAGGCTCTGCTGCTCTACATACCGCAGAACGCAATGCCCAGAAAACATCCTGCGAAATCCTGGGTGCTTTCTATACTGGAGCTTCTCAACCAATAGCAGCATTTAGATACAGGAAATATATGGGCATAAAGCGACAAAAGAGTTTTAAGCAATTCAGAGTGTTTTAGCCGCACATCGAAACTCCCTGACAGCAAATCAAGAGATCCATTCTTCCCTCTGTGACCCTGCATTCTCCGCATCCAATCAGTCTTGGTTGGGCACAACCTTTATGAAGTGCTGTCGGAAGCGGCTCCATCCGCTCGGAAACGGTCGGATCTGAACCGGGGACTTCCCATTCGCGGAGGAGAAATCGGTCAGGCGTAACTTCCAGGGCAAGTCGGAGAAAGTGGGGGAACCATCCAGGCGGCTGACCACCTCCTGGGCATGTTGCATGGCCAGTTTCCGGCTCCTCGGCTCCTCGGCTCCTGGCGAACGAGGAACGATGGAACGATGGAACGGCCACCCGGAGGTCCCTGAAAAACCAAGTCTGCTTAAGGGCTGAACATTTTGTGGACAATCAAAAACATGCACATAATTACGCATATTTATATACATATATATATATATGTATATATATAATATATATCTTACATAATATGATATCTCAAAGTCTCAAACCAGGCTGGAACGTCAACAATCCAAGGCGAACAACATGTATAATTTCTGTCTGTCATGAGGTCTTCCATTATGGGCGGCATGGCGGCGATTGGTGGTTCCACTTTTACAAGTCATGGGAGTCTTAAGGCTCGAATTTCTCATTCATATTTAATCCTAGTCCCCATGGGACATCCCTATGCTAGGCCAGTATTCCATGATATCTCCTATATTGATATTCCTTTTCATATCTCCATTTGGGTTTATCCGAAAATGGAAGATGATTATTCGAAATCCGGTTTATCAACTTTCCCATGTATCGATGAGCAAGGCTGGATAGGGCCCGGAAGCTCTCCATGAATTTTGGGTACCTTCTGGTAATTCACCATAGACAATTACAGTACAACATTCTAGATGACAATTGCAACATGCAATTTTCCGGGGCGATGTTTGTTTCCCAAGAAATCCACAGGGTATACAACATACCTCCTTTGTGTTTTTGTACCCCCAATCCGCCAACTGTTTGAATCCGTCGTCCTTGCCGATGCATTCCGCAAATTTTGTGACCTCCAGGACAAAGAGTCGAGAAATGTCCTATGAAGGGCGAAGAACCACTCAACGGCTCATGGCTCAACCCCGGGGCAGAGGGTAACGGGGTTTCTGTTCCCCTTGGTGGATCTTGGATCAAAAAGTGCCATGGCATGGCAGTTTTCCCCGACGATCCCGTCCTGAAAAACAAAAGGCCCAAATGAATCCATGGAGCCCATAGGCACATCTCAGCCATCCAGAGATTGCGAAGTTTCACACTATCGGGGGATGCTTGGCAATCCTCGGCTGCATGCGGCTAGCCATAACATGCTATAATCATTTACGGCTAGCCTCAATTAAACTGATATAACCATGGACAATGGTGATGTTAAGTTCGATGATTTACCGGTTCAACATGGTGATTTCCATGGTGATTTCGTTGGTTTACCAGAAGGTAAATCCCAAAAAATGTTGGCTCACCATAAACCATAGTATTTTGCCATCAACCATGGTATTTTTGTTGGTTCACCATAACCAGAAAGAACAAAAACTTGGATATTTTTGCCATAAACCATGTGGGATCCTGTGAAACTGAGGATCAAAATTTTAAGCTAGAGCTGCTACCCAAAACATGGATCCACATTGATTAAAGACCATTAAAAATGACAAGCAAAACACCATCCAAACCCAAAGCTATGGTAGTATCCACATTATATCCCGCTAATCTCTCATTCATATATATATATAATTGATATCCCATTCTGAGTATCCGATTATATCTCATGTGTATCTCATTGATATTCCATTCATCCACCCACATTGACCAGGATACATAGTGACATTGACCGTCCGAAATGTAATACGCGGCCGTCGCAACGGAACCGGCGGCAAAGACCACATCGTCCGATGCAAGAACCACATGTTTCAGGTAGCCGGTGGCAATGTCACCTGGTTTCACATGTGCTAGGATCAAGTTACATGGGATTCATGGTTTATAAATATAATTATACCAAGAAGACGCGGGATTTAATTGGATCTAACAAGCAACAAATGTGCCATGGTCACATTGCATGGGATTCATATGGTTTTTGGTCATCCCATGCCATGAACATCCTGACATAATGGGTATAGAAATCCCTGATATCTATTGACCATACCCTTGGGGACCCACTGTTGGATCCAGGGAAAGAAATGGCCGGGAGGTTAGTCGGGAACATGGGATAGGAATATGCTCGTGGGATGTTCATGAGATAATGAGATCCTTAACCCATGCTTTTCTTTTGACGAAACATTTGCTGTAATTGGTTGGTGGCTTGCACCTCAAAAACGATACTCATTGTTAAGGGATCAGGATTTTAAATATGGTGGAAAAGAATGAAATGCTGGTCAAAATCTCACCGGTCGTCAATTCAAATGGCCCGACAATCCAGCAGCAATACTTCGATGATTGTCCCAGTTTTTAAACAACCGTTTACTGTATAGGGGATTTCCCCTTGCATCTTTGAGGCCAGGGCCTGCCTCCTGCATGGCCAAAATGTCTGCTTCATAGCACTGGACCAGGCGACGGTGGAGTTCATAGAAACCTGGGACTGGAGCCAGCAACCGGCATAACTGAAAAGGGGATGTGATGGCACTATTTGTCAGTATAAATCCAGAACTATATGCAATGGACTAAATAAACACCATTGTGAGCATGGGCGTGACTGAAAATGGCATACAACCACATAATTTGCAATTTGTACGGGAAACATGATAAACCATTGGAATTTGGGTATACTATTCTCTGACAACGCAAGATTGGTGCCAAAAACCACACAATTATCATCGATCTCGGAAAATTGTAGCAAATGAGGAGGATTCCTGCAATATTTCAGCAGTATTTGGCAGGATGTCCCCTGCGAATAGAATCAAACCATCAAGATCTATGGTGAGAAATATCCTCGGTGAAATTGGCCTTTGAGGTCGTCAATGTATCATATTTTATCTACCCAAACAGTGATCTTCTCCCGATGCGCAATCATGTTAGATGATCTCTGCTCCCAGTTTCATTGATAGCATCTAATTAATTCTCAATTTGGCCGAAGTTGAGTCATCCACTCACCTGGCTATTTTTTGGTTTGTCGCGCAATTGCCACTACACTAACTTTTTTGTTGAACTGGTTGGCAGTTGAGTGACCCATTATAAGCATGCTCGTCATTTGACACCATCGTTCCAGCTTGGAACATACATATTTCAAACCGCCAGCCAAACATATAGTTTGAACATATTCACCCCGCTTCGCGTGGGGTGGCCGCCCACACCGCAGGTTTATTTCGGTCCGTGAGAGGGGCTAAGGGTGGTTTTCCCCCGTGGGAGCTCTTCAAGCTAAGAAATTTCAATAAGAAATCCTTCCAAAACATTGTTTTTGACAGTGTTTTTCCAATGTTTCCAGTCAAACAGACGGTAATTTACACGTTTTTTGCCATAAAGGCAGTAAATCCTTCCAAAACATTGCTTTTGACAGTGTTTTTGTAATGTTTCCAGTCAAGCATACGGTAATTTACACGTTTTTTGCTATAACGTCAGTCCAAAACACTTGTTTTTGCAGTGTTTTCAATGCTCTGGCATCCAAAAACCCTGCAAAATCTTGCTATGTACAATGTTTTTTTTCATTTTTGGCCGTTTTTCCATTGCCGGAAAGCTACCAAAATGACCCAAAATTCCATTTCAATACCCTCTTGCGCTCAGACACCCAAAAATCCTCGAAAAATGTCGAAAACACCACCGTATTCTGGTCTCGGTGCGAAACCGTTTTTGGGGTCTGGTCTCGGTGCGAAACCGTTTTTGGCCCCCCCCCCCCAGCTAAAGCTGATATAGCGACTGCTATATTAACAAATGTCATTGAGCATTTAGTGTTGCTGTTGCCCCCCAATAAGCACGCCTTCACCGCCAAAGCGGTGTGGGCGGATTTTACCCCCTGGTTATTTGACATAGGTCTGGAAACCATGGCCCATTTCTTAAGAGTATAGACATGATGATTTACCTATTATCTTGGCACGAGACCCCCAAACAGTGTGGGGCGTGGGAGGATAATGCATGTCAATGTTGATGTTGATGATGATGGTGATGAAGATGATCATGTTGCGGACGATGACGTTGAGGATGGTGATGTTGAGGATGATGAGATGCAGGATGATGATGTTGAGGATGATGAGGTGAAGGATGATGATGTTGAGGATGATGATGTTGAGGAGGATGAGAATGAGGATGATACCGCGGAAGATGAAGTGGAGGATGACAAGGTGGAGGATGGTGATGGTGAGAAGGAGGAAGATGATGATGTTGAGGAGGATGATGAAAAGGAATGAAAAGGATGATAATGTTGCGGAAGATGAGGCGGAGGATGATGATGTTGCGGAAGATGGTGGAGGTTCATGATGTTGAGGATGATGAGGTCAAGGGCGAGGAAGATGATGAGGTTGAAAATGATGTTGAGGAGGAGGAGGGGGAGGAAGACCCATCCCAAGGTCGGGACCCAAACTTTTGTGCGAGCCTTCGCAGTCGAAATGCACATTGACGTTGCAGAAGAGTCACTTTGTGCGAGAAATTACAGGAAAATGCCGGGGCCCAGAAGCGCGACCCACACTTGCGCAGTCGACATGCATTGGACATTTCACAAGAGCCATTTTATGCGAGAATTTACAGGAAAAAATGCTGGGGCCCAGAAGCGCGACGCAGACTCTGTGCGAGCCTGCGCAGGTAATGCATTTGGTCATTTCACAAGAGCCATTTTGCGCGAGAATTTACAGGAAAAATGCCGGGGCCCAGAAGCGCGACGCAGACTTTGTGCGAGCCTGCGCAGATCGGCCTTTACTCTTACCGTAAGAACCCCTCAGTGTGGACACACTGTTTGGGGAATGCCAAAAGGCGATGTTCCACTTCGCAAAGCGTTGACAAAAAGCAGAGGGTACATCTCATTATATAAATCACATGAATCCCATTAAATCACCATTAAATGCACATTTGTTGATGGTTAATTTAATATTGTTGAAACCAGAAGCTATCGCGAAGTTCCCAGGACGCTCCAACCATCGCAGCAGCAAAACTTCGCACGCTTTGCGCGACGCTGCGCTCGGCCGGATGGACTCCGACTCCACCAGAAAAAGGCCGACTACAATTTTTTTTTTATGCTGATTTGATGGGATATAACTGATATTTAATGGGGATATAACATGATATAACATGGTACTTGGATGTACTTGGGATATAAAAACAAGCATCATGGTATTTGGGTGTGTTCGAAAATGGGGTATCCTGGGCCCCCGCTTTTTTTCAGCTCTTTATTTTTGATTGGAGGCCATGGGTTGATAGCGAACGGCTTCGGCTTCAACTGGCTTGAACCCCTACGGCCGGGCTAGAACCTCAAAACCAAGACATATGAGAACCGAATTCGACTATACCTGGGCCAGGATAGACCAAAGATGCTAAAAACTGGTTGAAAAGATGTTAAACAGGTGTCTCTTTATGAGCTGGTAATGGTAACCTGCACATGTCCAAGGCAGAAATGAGAAACGACTTGCGTTTCTGCACCAAGTTTGGAAGAAATGCCATGCTTGGGCGCTGGCTTGGCCTGTCAACTGAAGTCAGTGGGATGATAAAGTATCATCAGCCAGTTACAAACATCTATCAACCAACCATCTTTTTTCCATAGAATGCAATGATCGAATTTCGAAACCCAATCTATGCTGGGGTTGCAACCCAATAAATTACTGACATGGCATTCATAATTCATAACTCATAACCCTTCCATACAAAAGGATCCGAATTGAAGCCCTCTGGGAGTCCCCTCCCTGATCTTGCGCTGAATGGGCGCGAAGCGGGGCGGATCATATCCCCTCTGCAGCGTGGCTAGGCCATGCGAAAGGCCCATCAGTGCCCAAGGTCGATGAAGATTTCGTTGGAAAGTGGGAAGTAAATGTAACAGCCAAAATCTGGGATGATATAAACTATAAAAATTGATAATGATTTGATTAATATAATATAGTATGATTTGGTAAGATAAACTATCATACGGATAGCCAGGGTATCAGTATCGCTAGGCATTCAAACACCTTGGACGGCTTTCGAATCAAAATATTTCTGGTGTTTATAGATGTTCATCCATCTGTCCGTGCGGAATATTAAGGTTCTGACGCATGCACACATTGAACAAAGTTCCGTTTTCACACACACAAATCTATATATATATATATATGTGTGTGTATATATGTATATAATATATATCGTCACTGGTTTTACGGATGTGAGCCTTACTTTCATGTTAGTATTTCAAGTAGTATTCCCCCTACTTTCGGTACAGTTGTTTTTTTTCAAACTATGATAGGTACAAGAGCCCCTGCGGATGATGAAACCACCCAGATTAGCATCTTGGGTTGTCTTACAAACACTCTTACATCCCGTGATCATGTCCCGATTGAATACAATTAAAACTTAAAACGTAGCAACAAGGCAAAAAAAACAGGGTACATCAGGCATCCACCCATGAATCTCCGCTGGTTATTTAATTGTCCCACTCCCTTTTATACACCCCCAGTGTATGGTCCCAAATGCCTGTCAATCATTGTAAACCACCTACTAAACCATGATTTCTCGGGGGGGCGTTTAATATCATAGGCAAGGGGTTAGTCTGGTCAACCTAAAAATAGAGGTGAATCTATTATTGTATAATGACCACAATGGGATGAATTTGCATTTGGTTCTTTACCACATTAGTTAAATCACTGATTATGACCATCTGACGCCTGGTTGTCTCCGGCACCGCCTGAAGACAGGGGGGAGTTGACAAAAAAATGATGGTTTTGAATCACTTCACCGGAGGATTTCACATGATTTCAATGAAGAAGCTGGAGAGGTATGGCGTTTTCTCATCAACATTGAACTGATTTATTTTTCTCTATTTGTGTACCCAACTAAAATCGAAACTGGAGAAAAACATGAGATATAACATACCACAAGTACCGCACAAGGCGGTGGCGGAAGTTTCAAAGATAGGATACCATAGGAGAGGTGAATTTTTGTGTTGCATGGATGGCAGAGCGAATCCACTGATGGACCGAAAGGTGGTTGGAGTTGTGTTTTTTGGAGCGGTTGCAATGATTGCAGTGGTCACCTCACCCACAACTGCCGGATGCAGTGTGGCGTATTGTTGTAGATGTAGTGTAGTGAAATTAGTGTAGTGTGTGGTGTAATTAGCGTAGTGTAATGAAGTGCAGTGTAGTGCACTGTAGTATTGTGTACTGTAGCGTAGTAAAGTGTAGTGTAGTCTAGTGTGAAAGGTAGCGTAAAGTGGTGTAGTTGGAGCTGTAGTTGTAGTTGTAATGTAGTGTAGCGTAATGTAATGTAGTGTAGTTGTAGTTGTAATTGTAGTTGTAATTGTAGTTGTAATGTAGCGTAGCGTAATGTAATGTAGTGTAGTAGTAGTAGTAGTTGTTGTTGTTGTAGTTGTAGTTGTAGTTGTTGTTGTTGTAGTTGTAGGTCTGTCTGTCTGTCTGTCTATCTATCTATCAATCTAATTATCTATCTATCTATCTATCTATCTACCTCTCTCTCTCTCTATCTATCTATCTATCTATCAATCTATCAATCAATCAATCAATCAATCAAATAAATCTAACCTATCTATCTCTCTCTCTCTCTGTCTCTCTCTCTCTCTGTCTATCTCTCTGTCTCCTCTCTCTCTCTCTCTGTCTCTCCGTCTCTCCGTCTCTCTGTCTCTCTGTCTGTTCGTCCGTCCGTCCGTCTGTCTCTGTCTGCAAGCTTGAAAACGAAGCCAGTCTGCGAGACTTCTTCAATTTTCGAACTTGACAACATCAAAAACGCAGCAAGTCTGCGAGACTTCCTCATTTTGAAGTTGATGACAACAAAAAAGCAGGAATTCGGCGAGGCTTCCTCAATTTTCGAAGTTGATAACATCAATTCTACGAGACTTCCTTCGAAAATGGAAAGTTGAGTGCAGAGCTGACGGCCTCGTACCAGTGCATTTTGCCATTTTCCCAGTCCATGTGTCTAAAGTATTGCGCCCGCCACAAAAAAGTGAGGCCAGGTCATTCGAAGTGCTGCACCCGTCACGCAAAATCATCTTAGCAAACCTGAAGATCTGATGCTCCAAAATGCAACCCTTCTCAGGAAATCAACGCCTGACCTTGAACCTGTCCGCTGAATATGTCTCTTGTACTGCGCCTGCCACGCAAAATGCATCTTTGCAGATCCTCTTCAAACATCTCACGCCTGCCAACTTTTTAAAAATTGCTGCGAGACCCCAACGTTTTGCTCACTTTGGGCGAGGTGCAGAATCCCATGTGCCAGCCACACCAAAGCACACCCAAACCCCAAAAAGTGTCCGAGAATGGTGTGTTTTGTACATTTTGACTTCGACATGTGCTTCGCGCCACAACTGCGTGCACTTTTCCAACATCGGCTTCCAAAAGTGCTCCAGGGTTATTTTTTGTGCAAGTCGACTTCGAAATTTGCTTCGCGCCACAACGCCGTGCACTTTTTCGACAGCTCAACTCCCAAAAGTGCTCCGAACCCGTCAGTTTTTAAAACTTTGGACTTCGAAATGTGATTCGCGCCACAACTGCGTGCACTTTTTCAACATCGCAACTCCCAAAAGTGCTCCGAGCATGAGGTGTTCTGAGCATTTTGACTTCAAGGTGTGCTTCGCGCCTCACCGGCGTGCAATTTTTCATCTCTCATCTGGCCAGATGGCTCCGCACTTGCCGCTTTAGCGAGCCTACTTTTCGACCCTCCGGAGCCGCAAATCATTGGAACAAACATAATGTTTCGGGGCTTTTCTACCTTTCGCGCGCCTGCATCTTTTTTCTTCTGGCGTTCTTTCTTCTTCTCGTCTCTTCTCTGACTCTTCCCACCTCTGCTTTTTCATCTGTGTCCATATTGTTGGAAGTTTGGCTTCTAAACTTCCTTCGATTATAAGATGATTTCACCAATGAACATCCGATGCGACCAGAACATATAGGCAATACAATTACAAGTACAACACATAGATACGGACAATCAACATATTATAAACGGACAAATCAAAGCTCAGAGTCGCTAGTGGTTGCCGCGCAGGTTCAATTCATCCAGGTTCAAGGTAGCCAAATCCTATCGGTTTATCTTGGTTTTTTCCCATTCAGATTAGCATGGCTTATGGCGTCACCATGCGTCACCCAATTCTTTTCAAAGCTGTTGCTTTTCTCTAAATATTTGAATCCTTGGACCGGACCGTTTTCAACAGTGCTGAAGCGCTGAATGCTCGACCCATGAAAGGTTTGAAGATCTTCGAAGCGGGAACAAAGAGGAACACCCCATTCAAAATGCTGTCTGCTGTCCAAGTGCAAAGCGCCGATCCCGTCTGCAACCTGCGTCTGCACTTGGACAATACATTTCTAGCATGGGGTGCAAAAGAGAGCTCTCAGCCCTTGCCCCCCCCTGCCCCATGACGCGAGGACTAGGACCAACTGGACAAGCAAACAACAAAGTGGGGAATGGAATCGTTAAGCACATGATTTTTTTTTGCCAGGGGTACGAGCTGATGTAACCAATGCGCACTTGAAATATAGAATCAGTTCTGCATACTCTTAGTTCAGAAACAGAACCTAGCTTCGTCGCATATGGTCACATCGTCAAAGAGTATCGGAACCCAAGATAGATCGATGGTTACTGAGCGCATTTATCCACAGATACATGACACTCAAAGCAGTAGTCAATGCCCAATCACAGCTAAACCACCACAATTTGAATTTGAGTAATAATTCATCATAATGTCAAAATTCATAATATAGAATTTACTATGATACTATTTCTAATACCAGTACGAGTAAAGAATCACGAGCATCGTCAAAAAAAGTAACAAATCATGGATATTGATGGGGTATACAAAACTGTTATATATTTAAATAATGTATGCGTTGTAAATAATGGATAGTCATGATGTATTCCTGGGATATATATTACTTATTTATATATATATATCATTGATATTCCCAGACTATTCGTAGGGCAACTCAGATCCCCTCCGATCTGCACCTTGGCAGGCAAGGACTTGACTTCCTGGCACTAAAGCTATCCAGGGATCGAGAGGTAAAGGGTACCATAAAGGACGCATCATATATCATATGAAATCCCATGAAATCCCATGAAATCCCATGAGATTCCATGAAATCCCATGAAATCACATGAAACCACATGAAACCCCATGAAATCACATGAAATCCCATGAAATCCAATGACGTCACATGAAATCCAATGAAACCACATGAATTCCCATGACATGAAATCCCATGAAATCACATGAAATCCGGAATGATCTGGGCGGAAATGGAGGCATGTTTTCAATTCCTTGGAGATATTTATGTCCTGTATGAGTTTTCAATGCATTTTCTGAAGGCATTAGGGCTTTGGATAGGAGCTTGGCTCAGCGTTTTTTCCCTGGAATTTGGCGGATTTTCCTGAATTTGGGCGGAATTTCCGTGGAATTTGCTGGAACATTTTAATCATCTTTAAAACAACAGATACCTGCTTGCGAGAAAGCACAATCCCCGGAATTTTATATCCCTCGGCTTTTTTCTGAAGTCTTTTTGTGGGTACAATGGCAGCAAAATCTCTAACCTCCACTTCGGATTCGTTCTCTGCAGGTGTTTCTAAGTATGAAACTAGCCATATCTGGCCATAAAATATCATAAGATGGTGTATCCGTTCCATCAACCTCCATTTTGCAGGTTTTGAAACCATTTTAAAACTAATTACCCTATCCATTTCACCATCATCCCAGCTACTAACCCTACCTGCGCCACCGATCTGCTCGCCTCTTTCAGCTTCTCGGCCTTGCGCGCCTGCGTAGGTGGCTGAGAAAACGAGACGTACCGGTGCCGTGCATCCAGTATAGTTAAACCAATAAAATATGGGATAATATGGATTGATCATGGGATAGCTGACATTCATAATTATGGGGTAATGGGATAATGGATAGTAATGGATAGTAATGGATGTGAATGAGACATCATTGGGACATCCTATTCATAATTAGTATGATCATGTATGATAATGTGGGAAGCGCCTTAAACCTCCCATGATTCAAGGGATGGAACCACCCTTGAGGTGGTGAGAACTACATCATGGACATCCAATCTCCCACGTTGCTTAAAGAAAAACGTTCCTACGGAAATCCCCTGCTGTTTGGACATTTTTTTTGGTGGTTCATATGGTTGAAAATAGATGAATGTTGATGGTTGATCAATATTGGTGAATGTGTTAATAGATAGTCAATATGTATGGTTCATCAACGATATGATCAAGGTTCAATAGATAATCTGTGTTGATGAAATCGTCTTTGGGGGATCCCCATTCACATCCTCGATCCAGATCCGGGCACATGCTGACACATGTTCTCAATCGTTTCAAACGATGATCCCCCCTGTTTTCGCACGCCCTGAACAAAAGATAACGTATAGACAAGTCAAATCCTACTATGAATAGAAAAATCATGGTGAGGTTAGCCAATCAGCTATCATATGCTATCATGTACCCCAAGCCGAGCTGTTCGATCCTCATCGCGATGTTCGAATTGCTCTTCCAAGACGTCGAAATCAAACATTGATCCGCGTTGAGAACTTCCAGGATCAGTCGGGATATGTCGGGATGATCCCTGGAGTTAAGACATGGAAAAAAAAACGGACAGACATGGGATATGCTTTGTTACTGGGGAATTAACTGGGGAAGTAAAGTGAAGTTGCGATTGTTTATGAACACTTGAAACGCAAATGATAAGCAACTGAGGTGCGAGCCAGCTACCAAGCCACTGAATGTAAGGATCATGTCCGTGGCATAGTTTTTGTAAAGAGGAACATATTTCATAGATTTTCAACGTTTAGATGGCAAGCTACACATGTTCAATGCATATCAGAGCCTTACGGTGAGGTAAGCCAGCAACCACAATCCATTGAACCTTTCTGCTCAGCCAAAAAAATCTGCGCGGAAAATCAGTAGCCACCACAATACGCCACGCCGGTGGGTGATGCAACTTTTCAGAATGCGGATCATGGAGATTCTATGCAGATATAGGCAGGAACAGGGCGATTCTGATGGAATTTCATGGGGATTACACCAAGCATAGGAGGAACATATAGGAAAAATGGGTCGTGTCAAGTCACTGGGGCGTCAAGGGGCCCACAAATGGGGCTGATCAATTTCAGTCGCAAAAGATGCATTTGGTGGGGGGAACACGTTTTTGACCAGTACCAAATATCCATCTACCATCCCAACTATGGAGGAAAAAAACACATCGTGAACTGACATGTGGCCACCTGGCTGGTGAAGGTTGGAATCCCCATGGAACAGGCTGGTTCCAAACCCATGACAAATGTGGGACTGAACCACCAGGTGGAGAAGTGAACCACTTAACATCAAACCCAAAGCACTTGACATGAAACCATGCCCTTGCGCAGCACATTTTTCCACCTCACCTTGCGCAGTGTACCATTTCCCCTCCTCGCACTCAAACTGATACGCCTGGAGCACAGGAAACATGAGAAACCCAGTGGGGCCTTGCTGGGCCCAACCATAATGGAACCAGCTAGGAATGGACCCCCCCAAAAAAGTGAGTTAGATTTTATCCGCAAATTCATGAATGTTCGATTCATATCTGGAAATGTGAGCTCCACGGTGGAAGAGCCCTGCGGGGAGGACGAGGAGGACGACGAGAGAAGACCAAGCAGAAGCAGGACAAGAGACACTAACAGCACTGACATGAAATCCAGAGCCCCCGACTTGACAAACGATTTTTCTAAAGAAACAAATAATTTGATCCGCGTAACCCACACCGCGGTCCTCGGCACGTTGAGGCACTGCATGGGAGAGCTGAGGAAAGATATCCCACTCGCCGAGCTTCAGCCCCTCAAGTGGTAGAAGACTTGGGCGCACAGCTGGCTTTGCTCTCTGGAGAGTGTCGTCACTGCGCGGTACCACATATAACTCTCCAAACGCACAAGCAGATAGGTCGCTGTCATGGCAATGGATGGCTTGCAGACACATGGTCTTCTGACTGGATGGCAAGGCTCTTGTCTTCTTTCTACACTTCCTTGTGCTCGCCGAGTTTCAGTCCTTCCTAATCTCCAAATGGTAGAGCTCCACTCTCCTGAGAGTACAGGTCTGGCCAGGAAATGCTAGAGGATTTTCTTGGCTGCCTTGATGTAACCAGGCAGCAATCGTATCGGCATGCCGAAATATGGGTCAACTTCATGCATTCCTTCTGGTGTGGCAACCTACACTGATTGGCGGATGCTGGAAATTAAATGCGGAGCTTGCAACGCTTAAAGCAGCATCATGCGACATACTGCGGATTAGTTGGGGCTCCATCGGGTCGGTGTAGACTCATTCGTCCGCTTCATGGCGTGCGAATGGCCGGAGGTCATATCACGCTTCGAACAGAAGGCGATCCAAATAACTTACTAAAGGGCTCTTCTAGCCAAAACGGGTTAAGCCAGCCAGCTGATCGTGATGACATGCCAAAACTTCTGCGAAATGCTTCTTTGAGGACGGGGCTTAAACAGTAAAGAACGCCTCAGACTCGGAGAACGGGTACCTTGGGTACCTTGGGTCAGCTGGCTCTGCTCCTTCCATCCCTCATCATCTCTCAATGCTACTGCCACCAGTCAACTGTGGCCACAAGGGGGCGCCTGATGGATGGTAAGAACAGAGCAATCATAGGTTTCTACAGCCGCACAGTACTTGGCAGCCCTCATTGTACACACAGCTGGGTGAAGGGTTTGAGCCTTTGGTGGGTAGGGACAGAAACCTTTCACGCCAATGCGGCCACACCGTGGTTGGTGTTTAATTTACAAAGTTCCTGTCCGGCCTGTGCCAAACCCCCAGTTGTTTGTGCCTTTGGGCATCAAAAATTCCCTGGGGACACTTGAGTGATATTTAAACATTAAGACATGCACATCGTTGTCCAAATTCTGCACAAAATACTGCGGCAAACAGCTGCATTTCATTGCGCTACTGGCATTTGCCGGAGGATTTTTGGCCTGAACTGAGTCTCCACCCTGTGGTTCTGATAATTTCTTGCCGATGTCAAAAGCTCATCTTGCGAACAAGCTCGATTTGTACAGCTGGCGACAGTGAAGCTTCTGCTTGTGGAAAACTTGAGAAGGGGCGGACAGATGAGGAAACTCGATTTGTACAGGTGGCTGACGCAATCGATCCAAAAGTAAGTATTTGGTCTTTTTGGTCCATCTTGCCCCATGTTTGCATGCTTTACAAGCATGAACTCTTCCATGACCCGGGCATGAGACTTACCCCAATGGTGTCTCAGAGCATGCTGTTCAAGCTTCGGCATTTGGTCCTGATGTCCTGGAAGCGAGCATGGTTCCTATCATATGGGGACTGGCATCCAAAAATCTCGACCAGCTGACCAGCTACGCCCCCATGTCCCTTGCCCAAACATCTACACGAAACCCTTGAACCCCGGGGAAACATCCTTCTGTGCACATGGCTTATAAGCTGCAGCGTTCTGTGCACCAATCTTTTTATACCAGCATCTGCAATTTCTGCGGAAATCTACGTATGAGTGAACCATCCCTACCCCTATAGAGGGGGAGGGCGGGGGGGGGACAAAACCAAGCTGTCGAATTCCATTTTTTTTGCTCGGAAACCCTGGGATAGTGATCCAACCCCGCAAATGGAATTGTAAAGTAACAATTCTTAACAAGCCTTGGGCACTGGTTAGAAAATACTTGCGCTTAGCTCCTCCGGAGCTAAGCGCAAGTATGGTGACGGCGGCGCAATTTTTGGAGGGATGCCATCCCTACATATGTGCTGCTTCAGTCTGACATGTGCTTAGCTCCTCCGGAGCTAAGCGCAAGTATTTAATTTTCATCTGATTGCCAATGACATGGAATGATGAGGAATATTGATCATTGATTGAGAAAGCATGATTGCAAAAATGGAATTTTAAAATGAAATTTCAGTACGGCTCCCCCCCTCCATTTTTAAGAGGGTAGGGATAGTGAACCATCCACTGGAGGTCATCATGAGTCTGCACTCTTTGGTTTTGACCATTTCTTGACAATGTCAAATTCCATGAATCTTGTACAGATGGCTGACAGTTGGGAAACATCTGTGCACATGGGTTCCTCAAGCTGCAGCTGGACGGTAGACAGCTTCTTGGCACCAATCTTTTCATGTTCGCTTTATTTGGTGGTTTTTAATGATCTTTGTTTTGTATTTTGTAGTGGGCAGCCATTTTGGGTTCCATAGACTTGCATTTTGTAGTGCATTTGGGGGCACTCTCTTGGATGGACTTGTATTCTGTAGACCCCTTTTCTCTACAAAATCACCTGTCAGCACTATCACTCGGAATGAGCAAGGGGATGTGCTACATATAATAAAAAAAATCTTACATTTGAAGAGCGCGTCCTGCAGGAGGAGGGACCTTGCGTTGGCAGCAAGCCCCCTGGCTGCATAGTGCTAAAGGATGCATTATGTATGCGGGTTGCTGGTACTTGTTGGAAGTCTGCCATTCGGCCATCTATTGTTTACGCAAACCGACCCTCTCAGCAATGCAAATCCTTCGGGACTGTGAAAGGCAAGTCTGGCGAGCCTGAAAGGAATTCACGAGCCTGACTGCAACCTGTCTAAGCCCAACATCCTCCTGGTCACTTTACTTTGGATCTTTATCTAAGGCTATGTTATTTTAGGGATGCTACGTCAATATAGGATGCGATTGACGTATCACTTATAGAAAGTCAGCTTTTGAACATACTACCTTTTGCTCCCACCGAACTGGAAATTTCTGCCGTTAATGACTCCTCATGCAACATCTGCAGTCCTGTTTCGAAAGAAAAATCGATGGATATCGGATTGGCACTGCAAGTTGCCCTAAGCACTTGAGAAGGAATTCAAAATTGCAGAATCTCTCGTACACAAAGGCCCTGCGCAAGCAAAAGTGGCTTGGGGATGTTCAAATCTGGAAAATTCGAGCACTGTTTGGTCTTGAAGAACTCACGTGTTCACAAACTTGTATCCGAGCGTTGAAAGCAGTCCCAAAATGAAAAGAACGCAAGGGTGATGACACAAATCCTTTCAATCTCAAGAGCAAATCCATGAGAGGACTTGACACATCATCACTGATTGGTTAGGGCTGGAGACAATGGTCTGGATTCTATGAAATATCTATTGATCCTTATCAAGGCAGGTCACAGGCCGCAAACCAGTGGGTACATATGCTGTGATTCATGTTGCCCTCCTGTCCACTGAAAACAGAGCCGGCGTGCGACACCAATCCTCCTAAGAACGGCAACAGCACGGCCAAGCGAAAGGACATCAGATTCATGCAGCCAGATTTCTGGGCAGCTCCAGGCAATTTGCTGAATGCTTGAAAATTAAAGGCTTAAAATGATTGGCCGCTTGGAAGCAAAAACTCTAAACAAACCCGGTGCCATGCATCAACCACTGCATGGTCAAGGCTTAAAATGATTGGCTGCTTGGCAGCAAAAACTCTAAACGAACCCGGTGCCATGCATCAACCAGTGTTGTCTTGACAAGTCTATGGCTGCACCTCGCCATGGAGCTATAACCAACAGTGATGCTATGGAG